TTTATTTTATAATTTATAATTCATTTTTTCATGGTGTATTGCATATCCTACATTCCAAACAATTTGTTCTTCAATTTGCATTCTTTGAAGACGACTGAAAATGGTGTGGAATAACTTGCCTTTTAAATATATAAATTAAATAAAAAATGTAAGTATTGTGTTTGAATGTACTGAAATAGCTTGTTTTTTTTCACTTGTATTTTTATTTTATTATTATTATTTTAGCGCTGTCATGCAAGATATGTCTGCAAACTTTCTAAGCAAACTTTATTGAGTATATTTATATGAGTATTTTGTATGCATGTCCTGCTGTGTCATATTTTGCAGTCCTGTCTTAATTTTCATAAGTCTTTCCTTTTGTCTTGTTTTAGGACAGTTCTGGAGAAAATGGGGCTGCTGGGAAACTTAAAAAAGAAATGAAAGTTGTTCTGTACATTAATTTTGTAATTTGATTAGTTATTTGTAAATGAAGTAATTACTGTGCATTGTTTGTTTTATTTTTGTATTATAAGTTGAAACCTGTAAATAAAAGACAAGAAATAATTACACTGCAAAAAATGCTTTTCTAGCTTAGATCTTTTGTCTTGTTTCCAGCCAAAATATCTAAAAATTCTTAAATCAAGAAGGATTGTCTAGACAAGTAAAAATTATTGTCTTGTTTTCAGAAAAAACAAGTCGAATTCAAGTGAGTTTTGCTTGAAACAAGCAAAATAATCTGCCAATGGGGTAAGAAAAATAATCTTGTTTTCTGTTTGAGAAAGCAGGTAAAGTTGTTGTTTTGTTAATAAAAGGTCAAAGTTTAATATAAGTGAATTTCTCATTGTATTATATGATTTTGTAGTTTTTTATTTATTTATTAATATTAATTATTCGCAAATTAGGCATTTATTCTAAAATTGATTTGTTGAGAGTGATAAAATGGAAATGGATTGAGTAATGATGTTTGTTTTTTCTATTTTGTTACAGTGTTCAAATGATTGAAAGCATTTTGTGTATTATTTGAATTTGTTCATTGTTTGTTATTGTGATTGCATCTTATATTAAAAGAATACGGTATAAATTATTTCTCGTTAGTGAATTAGCCATGTTTTGTTCAATTTGATTGTTAATTTGATAAAGAGAAGTCTATTAGTTTTTGTTTAAGCAATAATGCAATAAAATGGTATGGAACACGGTGAAATTTTGAATAGGTAATGAGGTGTGTTTATAGTCAAGTGGTTCTAGATTCAGGTTCATTCAAATGGTTTTTCAGAGTTAGTTTTGAGGAATTTTTATGTACATTGAGATATCGTGGTGGATTCATAATTGGAAGCAATTTTTTTGTTTATATCATGTATATATCTCTATATTTTGAGTTTTAGCTGTGGTTTAAAGTAATTTAAAGTGTGTAGGTCATATTTTTTCTTAATGTGTTTGATAGGTATTAATTAATGTCATTTTATAATGTTTTAGTACTAGGTAAGGAGTTGGTAATGTAGGCCTATTTGTATTTTGCTTATGTAAGCTGACCTTTATTGATCATGTATTAAAATAATAATCAAGTGAAACTATTAGACAGAAACTTCCAGGCAGGTGTGTTGAGGCAAGTTGGAGCTAAACTCTGCAGGACACCGGCCCTCCAGGACCGAGTTTGGGCAACCCTGGTTTGGAGTAATAGGTTGCATCAGTGGTGCCCAACCCTGTTCCTGGAGATCTACCTGCCTGCAGAGTTCAGCTCCAAGCCTGCTTCAGCACACCTGAATGTAATTATCAAGTGCTCCTGAAGATCTTAATTAGCTGATTAAGCCATGTTTGATTCTGTTTCTCTCAAAAGCATCGTTATACTTAATCCTGTCCTGGAGTACCTCCAGCCCTGCACATGTCTCCCCTCATGTATCACACCTGATTCAACTCATCAGCTCATTAGTGGAGACTGCAAGACCTGAAGTGGGTGTGTCAGATATAGGGAGATATACAAAATATGCAGTGCTAGGGGTACTTCATGGAGACGTTTGGAAACCACTGTTGTAGACAGATTGCTACCAATAGAGGTATTATCAACTCTCAATGCTTTTGGGATACGGAGCTGCAGTATTATTAATTTGGCCATCACACTTGTGTTTTTTGTGGTCAAAACTGACTGGAGGCCAGAGTTTTGTAATAATTTTATATCTTTTTTTTTTATGACTATTTGGCTTTTTTTAATCAAGTCAATGCTGTGTTTTTATAATCGTTATATTTTTAAAAAGTGAATAGTATTGTAGAATTTGTTATTTTAAGTTTTTAATTTGATTTTAAAGAATGCTAGTTATGAATTCAAAAGGTGTGTAAAAGTGATTTTTAATAGTTAATGCAATTTGTGTAGGTATGAGTATCAATTTGTGCTATTTTGAACAGTTTTACCTTTTTTATTTGTTTATAAATGTCTGCAGGTGTAACAATGGATGCACCGAAGAAAGCAGCTTGTTCAGAAGTCCAGGGCTTCTTGCACAATGTGTCACCACTTGTTAAAGCAGGCAGCAGTGACTCCAAATATTTCACTGCAGTGGTGCAGGAGGCTACACGGAATAGTCGAGTTGTCAGTTTTGATGTACAACGGCATAATTAATTTTCCTGTGCAGAGAAGGACAAGTAAGTGCAGTAGTGATTAACAAAGATGTTCTGTTTAATTTTTAAATAAAGCACTTCAGTATAGATATAGTATATTTGTTTGGTTTTAATATTGTGGATAAGTGCGATTTTGTTATAAATAATTGGGTTGACCCAGATTACACGTATGTTTTTAAGATGGGGTGTTCAAATAAATGTTATCAGGGGATCAATTAACTGAAATTTAAATTATAATAGAGTACAAATGTTGTGATTGGTTAATTGCAAAAGGCTGCAATTTAGATGTTTTATGAAAATTATTTTATTTGTAGCCTAATATTGTGCTATAGTGCAGTGTTTCCCAACCGGGGTGCTGTCTGTCGAGAGCAGGGGTGCCGTGTAAAAAATCCTTTTTTTAAATTTTTTAAAATGGCAAAAATTTTCAAAAAAGCATCTTTTATAAAATATCCATTTCTGATGTCGCAAAATTAGCCTACTGATTGCCACCATTGATGGACAAAAATGTTTAATAATATTAAAAATATCTGTATGACATTATATTCTGCAGTTCTTCCCTGTTGTACCGAATATCTATACTTTTCAAATTATCACATCGAAGTTAGAAATTCAAATATTGTGACAATTAATTTTGTAGGGTGCCACAAGTTTAATTTCCAAAGGGTGCCGCGACTAAAAAAAGGTTGGGAAACACTGCTATAGTGCACTTTATCACATTCTGGCACATCTGTCACAGTATAGTGTACATTCTAGGGCTGCCACTATTGATTATTTTAGTAATTGAGTATTCTACCGATTATTCCATCAATTAATCGAATAATCAGATAAGAATTTTTCTTTATTAAAGAGCAATGCTAGATATACAAGAGAAAAAAGAGGTCTTTTAAAATAAACAAGTAACTTGTTTCCTTTTTAAGAAAAATAAACTTTTTTTTTTATTTTTTTTTTTATTGGTGAAATTGCATTAACAATCATGAAAATTAAATGTTTTTAATGCATTTAATTGGCAAAATATAGTCAAAATACAAAAATGAATTTAACATTACTTTTAAAAAGTTAAACAGTACAAACTAAGGCATAAGTCAAAATAATAGTAATAAAAATAATGTTACATAAATTGTTGTGCAATTTTAACTTTTTTTTTTATTATTTTTTTTAGCCTAACTAAAGCGCAAGAATGCCATAACTGTCTTCTTGTAAGGCTTTGGGGCTTTTATGAGAGGCAAAAATGAATGAATAGGAAGGTAACTTGGAACAAGAACGAGAGTTCATACACAATTTCTATCACATTTTTCTGCAACATGAAATTAGTTATTTGGAGAATAAACCCTCTTAAATGTCTCTCTACGTACGTGTGTGTGTACAACTTGTTTTTGATATCCTTCATATTCTATGTACTGGTCAGTTCACAGCAGTGATTGAAATAAATCTGTTGCAATAAGTTTAAATTAGATTTTTTACATTTTATAAAGCCTTTTTCTAAAAGTGTGCATCACGTTTTGAGTCGAATTCTTACATTTAATCAGTCAATTAGAATAAGACTTTTGGGCAGTTACCAAACAAATTATATTAGTATCAACAATTCATATTTGCAATGTAGAGGAAACACAGAAGCTGCATCTGAAGAAGCATTTAGATGTAGGCCTATTTACACACCATTTAATTCAGCTCAAAGGGACATGAATGCATTTAACCTGCAGTTACAAATGCATAAATTAATTTGTTATTTTAAATGTAAAACATCAGTATTCAATATTTACAATTATTTTAAAACTGAAAAGATAATTTAAATGTGGAATTAAAACTGCCAGTAGGTGGCAGCAAGTCAGTAATTCATTGCGATTGAACCGATACAGAAACTTTCTTTCTGAAGTATTTTTATGCTTAACTGTATCGGGAGTGTGTCTGTGTGTCACAGAGAGAGAGAATGAGACCATCAACATGAATGGTGCTTAGTCCTTCACAAAACATAGCTAACTTGGGGACATCAGAACTTGCCACCATATTGATTGGCGATCTTAAATCCATGCGTCTCAATGTGCATACTACTATCCACCCTACCTGCCCTAAATAGTATTGAAAATTACTAATCACAGAATTTAGGATGGATAGTGTGCACATTGGGACGCAGGTTGTGTCCAGTGTTTATTGGGTTGTGCATGAGCAATAATGGTCCCTGGTGAAACGCAGTGTTCCATGTGTAGTTACAGTAAATGGAATTGTGTCAGCCCTAGTACATTCACATGAAATGTTAACTTGGCTGTAAAGTTACACTCGGGATACTGCACTTATGTGCAATTACAAAAGTACATTATTTGAATCTGCTTTAAAGGCTTGCTGGTTAAACATTTAATTCACGTTCTGTTGAATGTGAGCATGTACACTTGAATCGTGCACACACTAAGAGGTTAATAAATGGCACTTGATAACTAGACTAAGTTGTCATTTGTGGCTAATACTGTGAAAAGTACACAAATTGTACATACAATTACAGTTGGTTATGCTTAAAATGAAAGTAAATAGTTTCAGTTAGTAAACAGAGCGAAGGTCTTAAATTAACAGTAGTAAACATGCTATTGTTTGTAAATAAAGGAATAGTTTATTCAAAAATTGATTTTCCAACATTATTTGCTCACTCGCATGTTTTCCCAAAGTTGTATTAATTTCTTGTGCTGAACACAAAAGGACATATTTTGAATATTGTGTGTAAGCAAACCATAACTAGATACCATTCATTTTTATATTGGGGGGGAAAAAATACTATAAAAGTCACTGGGGACCAGCAACTGTTTGTTTGTCCACATTCTTCAAGTAATTATGTTTAAGAGAAGAAAGCAATTCAGGTTTAGAATAACTTAAGAGGGAGTAAATACTTGTATAAAAATAAAACACTGATAGAATTGAAAGACAGATGACAGAATTAAATTTTTGGGTGAAGTATTCTTTTAATATTAATAAAACGACAAAACCGGGAAAAGTCACTTGCAGCTCTTGGCCCATGAACTTTAATACAGTTGTTTTAATTGAATTTCATTGAATGTTAGTGTTCAATTCTGTATGTGTATTATGTTTGTTTTATTTTCTATAAAATCATGGGAAAGACCTTCATTCACTTTTGGTTTAATGTTTGCCATTCTTTTTTTAATATTATGTTTTGTTAGCTTGAATTTTTTTTACAATAGGGAAATTAGTTTGGTTGTACTGGTTAGACTACTTGCAAAATAGTGAAATCAACATGATAAAATTGTGAACTGATATTCCTGAAAAAAAAGTCAAATGACATGTTTGCTATGTTGTTCACCCCTAAGTCAAAGTGATACCTAAGTGAATTAATATTACAATGATTTGGTAATATGCGATTATTTAGGCTTAAGTTATAGTTTTGTTTTGTTTTTTTCCCCCCAAATTGCACAGTTGTAAGAAACGGTGTATTTAATATATTGTATGTACTGTATGTAGAATTGTTGATTTGATGATTTTTCAGCATGTGGTTTTTATGTTTATAGATTTAGTAAGTTTGCATTTTGAATTATATGTTTAAGTAATTTGTTTATTTTTTGTTTTTTGCAGAAGTCCTGTTATGCTAAGTGGAGTGTCCTTCTCCAAATCGCTGCAAGGAAAGGACAAATGTGACGTATTCAATGCTCACTCTAAATTGTCAATTGTGAAGGGATTGCCATTTGCGTTTGAAGAGAATCTTTGTGAACTGCATGTTGTGAAAACACTCGAAGAGATTTGTAAGGATGTACGCGAGTATCAGACGGTAAGTGTTGTAAAATGGTTCATTTATTTTATTAGTTTTTGTGCACTTAATTACTTTCTAGAAAGATGTTAGCTAATTGAGGATGTTTTGAAGAATATCGTAATTGTTCTGTAGATTACTTGTTTGCAATTAGTTGCACATTAATAACATTGAAACTGAAACAGAATATTATGTATTATGTAACATTCAAAATATTAATGTGCATTGTAGAGAGTGCAAAACATAGTAAGTAGTCTTTACATGATGGGTTGGGAAGTCTTTTTTCAGCAAAGAGTAATTTTTTCATTTGTTGCTTTTTTTTTTTTTTTTGTAAAGTGACAATACGTGAGGTAATCATTACTATATTATCTTTATTAGATTTTATTTTCTTAATATTTAAATGACTTTATATAGGTCTATAGTGAAGGTAAGACACTTACAAATCATCCCATAAATAAATGTATTATGTGTTATTTTGTATATGGATTTTCCTGTGATTGTGGTCCTATATTATTATTATTTTTTTATTATTATTATTTTTTTCTTCCTTTTTTAATGTTTATAAGGTCTTTTTTTTTTTTTTTGTATATTTATTAAAGATAGTGGATATTTGTATTAAGTGCAAATGGCACTAGATGCTATTTACAGAAAGTGTAATATGTATTAGGTGCTCTTTTAAGTAAGAGAAAATAAGATTTTTTTTAGTGGTAGATATGGTAGTGGTAGATATAGTGCTATGTACAGTATGTGAGGAGTATATTTTTTAAGGTATGTTTAATTTACATTAAGTGAAAATAGTAATGTATTGTATTTATATTATGTAAAAGTAGTAGTTTTTTGCAATGAGTGAAAATGGTAATTAAATACTGTGTACTTTAAATTAGCAGATACTTTTTGCATTTTAGTATTTTTAAATAATTAAAGGCACTATGTAAGATTTTTTTATTAAAATATCCAAAAAACACTAGAACAGTGTTATATATTTTGCTGACTTGTGTACTTGCATTATCCCAAATGTTTCGAAGAATGTTTAAATCCAGAGAAATAAGCAATTTTAACTAGTGACACAGACCGTGTC